GATGCATCTGCCAGAAGCCTGCGGGGATTGAGTCGGGCGACCGTGTCAACAGGAAGTGAAGGGGGAGGGGGAGGGGCCTGGTGCAAGGAGAGCAGGCTGGCAAGACCAAAACCGGACTACAATCTCGGGCGGGAGGCGTTTTGGCTCTTACGTCTGCTGAACGGCACGGGGAAGAGGAGGGTAGCAGGTCCTAGCGAGGCGTACCGGTCCCCAGGCCGCCCGCCTCCTCCACCGCGGGGAGCAGGGGTCAAGGGTTCGACAAGTTGGGGAACTCTTTGGGAATTGGACACAGGGAGGCAGAAATACAGCGACAAAACATGAACATGCAGAAACGCATCCAAACTCGTTTCCCTCCACACCGATGCACGTACACCGATGCACAGCGATCCAAGTTTTTAAAGTGCAGAAGACGTGGCCAGAAACCCACAGTACTGAGCCATCTTAACCCGACAGAAGACTGAACGTTTGCCATCTACACGTCATTGGTCACCCACCTCCAGCTCATACAACACTCTATTAGAACTTTCATTCCTTTCAAACCATATGAATACACATAGCGCTGTACATGAATATACTGCTGCACAAGCACTGCACATGCCGAGCCTCTCTCTACTCCATACAGCAGCAGTTTCGCTGTAATTAGCGACTCCAGCCCTGCCTGAGATGTCGAACTAATCTGTAAACTGGTCAGGTGAGGATGGTCGAGGCTCTGCCCTGGAGAATTTGCAGGATCTAATATATTAAAGTAACAGCGGCAGATGAACCTACTGCAGTTTTCTGGCTGGAACTTTTTTTCCCCCTTGGGGTCTTTTTAAAACCCACACGCCTCTCTTCTCAGGCTGATATCCCCCATGTTGCACTAACACACTATGCCGTGATACGGTGCTCAAGCAGGACCCCGAGTCAGCACGAGACCCTGCCCGGCCCTGAGACCCCCCCGCAGTGTTCTGTGGAGAAGGAAAGCGTTGTGAAGCCCCCAGCTGCCCTGGGACAGTGAGATACTGAGACCTGGACAGCACCGTGACAGTGAGGCCATGGTCAACATGCAAAACCACCAGGATTCACCTGCCCCCCCCCGGGGTCCCACACAATTCCCGTTCACCCTACCCTCGTCCGCTAGCCTCCCGCACCGAACTCTACACCCCGCTGATAACTCATCCCCCATTGCCATGACGGCGGCCATGGCAACTGGCCCGGTGACATCACCAGGTGTGAGTCACCCAGTGCCGATCCGGGAGGGGGGAGGGGGGCCCTGCGAGAGGCTGGGGGCAGATTGGACAGGCGATGGAGGAACACGGGAAGATTAGATGATGAAGCACTGCAATAACAGCCATTAAAGCCCAACAGCATGGGGAAGCCATTTAAAAAAAAGGATCAATGCAGGAGACGCTAAAATCGTAGGACACTAGATAGGCCGCGTTGAGAATACCGCGCACAAATTCGGTCACCGTGCTGCAGAACATCCATTTCCGCTCTAGAAGCAGAAACCCAGAGCAAACGGATGCATGCAGGGGTTTAAGCAAACGTCCCAAACCGACGGGCTGGTGGAGTCATTCTCTTTAGTTTGGGACAGAGGCGAATCCGGGAGGACCCGATACAGATTCGGGGGACCCGAGAGAGAATGACAACTAGCAATGAGTACCCCTGCAAAAATCCCCCTCCCACGTGGCGGG